CATTTTTATTCCTAAATGTTTGAAATCCTTTGTCTTGTCACCTGACTATCCATGCGCCTAACAATTCTATTAATGAGCTCATGATTTGTTGAGCTGAAACTTTTTAATACTTTTTTATAATAAAATATTGCACATGAGTCCCTGTCTTTTCTCCCTCCCTTGTTCTCTCTCCTCCAATCTTCCAGTCTTCTTCTCCACACTTAGCAACCTAGTTTTGTAGTAGGTTTGAAATCATGGAGAAGAAAACTGAAGGAATGGAGGAGAGAGATTGTGGGGGGAGAAAGGGGAGAAATAAGACATGCTAGCTCAACATAGCATGGGGCCCACTAATGGAATTGTTAGGCTCATCTATGGTAGGGTGTTCAGATTTCACATATTTAGGGATAAAAATGACAAAAAAAAATCAAGTTTAGAGCACCTGTAAATTCATAGGGAAAAGTTCCGAGGGGGGGAATACCTTTATCTCTTGCAAGAAAATACTTAAAAAATGAGAATAGTGGGACCTATATAATAGCTGTTAAAAGCATTAATGTTAGGGTGACAAGGCAGCATATTTCTGACTAGTTTATAACTAATAACTGTAAATCAAAATTACTAACTGCAAATGAAATTTTGATGTATCAAGACTTAGCTCCAAGCTTCTCAATGAGCGAGCGGTATATCCATCCAAATGGACTCATGATGTGTTTTGGAGTTATGGAGGTGATCATGACTGTTCAATTTTTATGAGTCATCTTTGCCATTCCATGTGTGCAAGAAGAGTCCTTGTTTTGGCTAATGATGAATTCCTCAACCCTAGTGTGGAAGAATTCAAGGCAATAGAAGAATCCAGGACAACTATCTTAGTTATCTCTGAAAACTATGTATCCTTGACATCTTGTTCGAATAGCCTTGCAACCATTCTTGAGTGCTGTAAGAAAAAATATCGAGTTGTTTACACAATATTTTATGATATAGAGCCATCAGAGTGGCTATATCAAACAGGAAGTTATGAAAGAGCATATACTAGGCTTAATAAGATATTAAAACATGACAAACAACAGGTGCAACAATGGAGGTTGTCTTTGTCCGAAGCAGCGTCAAGAGGCAGATGGTATTATTTCAATCCCAGGTATCTCCTCACACTTTTACTTAAATTTTCTCCTTTCTATGATTTGGTCATTACTTTAGCTATTACTTATTAGATACTCAAGGGACCCTTACCTCATCAATTGGATACGTTACATAGAATTTGAGAAATAATTGATATCATTTACAACTTATAAATATAATTTTTAATTTTTGATAAATTATACATAAATATAGACCATGTATAAGTATAGATTTTTTTTATTCTAGCACTAAATAATTCAAATAAGCATTATTCTGATTTACAAGAATTAACATGGAATTATAATTAAATAACAAGCACGCATGCATGGGCTTGGTTTAAATTTTCACAAATGTTGGTTTTGTTGCAACAAGTATGTATGCATATACTGACAAATAACCATAAGTAATTAACAATCAATAATTTGATAATGAACAATTTAAAATTTTTGATAGACTTGATTTAATTTTTCGCAATTGTTAGTTCTGTTACAACAAGCATGCATTCACATATTGAAAAGTAACTATAAGTAATTAACAAGCGCCAATTAGAGTTCCTCTCAATATGGCTATTTTCATCCTTTTTCCTTAAATTTTATTTTCATTTAGGTCCTTTGGGTGAGCAGAGAGAATTCATAATCTTGGGATCCTTTTTCGCTTAATAGGCTTCAAGGGTTCTTGAGTGAGGTTTTCCCTATATGTTATTCTTGGTCGCTTTCAAAATGTGTAGAATGAAAAAAAAATAAAAACAGCAATTCTGCAAGTGAAAAGTAGTTTTCATGTATTTGAATAATAATTGATAAAAATTTAATTACAAATATATATTATAATATAATAAAGGGATAATGTAATTTTTAACCCCTTAAGTTTCTCTCGATTATTAATTTAGTCCCTCAAATTTACTTTTTATCAACTTTGACCTTTAAATTTACCTCATTATCAATTAGTTAATTATTATTTAAAGAGAAAATAACACTATTCAAATTTATAAATATGGATAATATAATATTGATGACAGCTATGTAGATTGTTGAAAAAAATGAAATTATTTAATCAGGAAAAAACATATTCTAAAATTTTATGAAACAAAAGAACAAAATATAGTATAAGAGATTATAATGTTAAAAGTTAAATTGATTTGACAACTAATTTGTTCTTATTTAATTACATATATAAATGCAAAGTCATCAATATATTTTACACTTTAATTTGTGTCAATTTGTAAATTGAGAGTCAATTTGTATTTTAAAACTTAAAAGGCTCAAATGATAATTTAATTATAATTTATTAAAATTTAAAGTTAAGGGATTAAATTAATAAGTGAAACAAACTTGAGGGATTATGTCCTTATTCCTTTTATTTATATATCTTGTGTTGCACAAATTAAACCCTAGGTAGATTCCCAAATGGAAATAGAGATTATACTTGCAAGGGAAAAAAATAGAAAATGACTGCATTTACAATAATTTTGATTTGAATATTTATTCCAAGAAAAGTTGCAAGACTAGTTTTTATGATCTTTTTTAATTTTAAAAATTTTAGAAGAAAAATATATATGAAAATCCTAATATTTTTGTTAATTTTAAATTAAGTCTCTGCAATTTATTTTTTTTTAATTGAGATTTTATAGCTTGATCCATTAGATTTTCTAATCCCTAAAGGCTAAAATATTTGACTTTTTCCTTTTTTAAATTTATACTTTATTAAAAGATTATATAACTATAAACTTAATTAAATAATTTGTATAAATCAAAATTTATAGAATTAGGTTCTCTTCTGAATAATTTTTAAACATATAGAATTTCTTAAAAAATTAATAAAAATGTACACAATGTAGTATAAGTACTAAATCAAATTTTTTTATAAACTTCAAAAGAAATTTTGTTTTGAAAAAATATTTAATTTATTATTAATTTTAACCTTCAAGAATTAACATATGTAATAGATGAAACTATAAGGACTTGATTTTAAAAAAAAAGTATTGTGACCTAATTCAAAAATAAGAAAAACTATAAGGAATTCAAGTTTAGAAACAAATAACTGAAAAATCGCTATAGGAATAAATAAATGAGTACTATCAATTATGAAAATATGAGGCAGAAAAAAGAAAGAAAAAGGAAAATACTTTTTTTTAATCATTTATTGGTGTTTTTCTATTTGAGGCCATTTTGTTTGAGGTTAGATTGGGCATTAAATATGGATAATTTTATTTTAACCTTGGTTCATCAAATTTATGAGAAACTAATCCCTTTCATTAAACTTAATTCTTGTTAATAAAGGAGCATACTTTATTTATGTAGTTTAATTAATAACTATACATGTCTATATTAAAAATTTATTTATCACTATAATATAATGACTTTATTATTATTTTTTTAATAAATGTGGCTAAATTCAAAATTATTTTACCTTTTCCATATAGTTTTACGACATTTCCATTTTTAATTATGCATGTCAAGGATGCTATTCATTCTTATTGCGAGAAATTTGTTCTTTTTTTTTTTTGGGGGGGGGATACATTTCATTTCTAAAAGTGCAATATCATAATTCTTGTTTGACTAAAAACTGAATTTCTTCAAAATTGACCAGGAATGCGAAAAAAGACGAGTTTATTCAGAGGATCATTAATGTAATCTCTTCAAGTAATATTAATGCATTTCCTTTTCGTGTTCTGAATGACTCAGCGGGGCTTGAGTCTCGGGTACAAGAAATAATCACCATGATATTGAAATCCGGACCAGACCGATCGGGTCAATCTAAAAATCGGTGATCCGGTCTCTTGTCCGGTCTGAGTTTACTCTTAAACCGGTAACGAAATAAACCGGTGTAACCCGATCAACCCGGGTTCAACCCGGTATAACCCGGTTAAGCCGATGGGTTGACTGGGTTAACCGGGTTATTTTTTTTTTGAAATTTTTTTTTCATTTTTTATTTTTCAGAGTGCTGAATTTAGAAAAAAGATAATAAAAAAAAAGTAAAACTAAAGTCAAAAAATAAAAAATTAGAGATAGAGCACGCTAACTCCAATTCAGATTTTCAGACAGTATTGATTTCGGCCTTTCATCTGTGTCTCTCCTCTCTCACCCTAACCTAATCAGTGTCTCTTCTCTAGCTTAGTCTCCATCTCTTCTTCTGGCTCTAGCTCTATCTCCATCTCTTTTCCAATTCTATCTCTGTCTTTGCTATCTTCATCTCTTCTCCAGCTTAATCTCTGACTCTTCTCCAACTCTATTTCCATCTCTTCTCTAGACTTTTGAGATTGAAGAGTTGTAAGTGTAATGAATCATGATAGATATTTAAAATATTGTATTTTATTACTGTTAGACTTTTGAGTGATTGAATTTAGTTGAATATTTTTATAATTAATGTCTTTTTATTTAAATTGTATTATTTTAATCATGACCGGTTTGCCACCGGTTCAACCCCCGGTTCAACCCTAATTGAACCACTAACCCGTGACCCAATGCCATAACCGGTTCAATGACCGATCTGGTTTTACGTACCTTGGTAATCACAGTTCTAGATGTTGGGTCTAATGAGGAAGTCAAAATGGTAGGAATTTGTGGAATTTTCAAAATAGGTAAATCAGCATTAGCACGTGCTGTGTGTAATCTCATTGCTCACCATTTTGAAGATTTATGGTACTTTTTTGATTCCTTCTGTAATGATCAAAAAAAATAATAATAATAAAATACTAATAATAAAATAAAATTAATTAATTAAATTATTAAAAAGTGTTTAAAGTTTATTTTTAATATTTTTTTTATTTTTAAATTAAATATATTGTGGTTTATACATTATTAATAGGTCTTAAATTTAAATTTTCATGAGGCAAAATTACTAAAATGCCTTTCTGTTAATTAAATAAATAAAGGGAGAAGAGCAGAGCACGTTCGGAGAAAGAGATAAAGAGCAGAGCATGTTCTCCTCATTTCCATCGGATTCAAGAACCATCGAGAGAGAGAGAGAGAGAGAGAGAGAGAGAGAGAGAGTCAGAGAGCAGCTGAACCACATATGACCGGTGGTGTGCGTGCTGCAATCGTTCACTGCTACTGTCCGCCTAGCCTGCAGCAGCTTCTTCCTCCTCTGTTTCTCGTCATCGGATCTTGTCTTTCCTTCTCCATTCTGTCCAATCGAAGTTAGTCGCCGGTCAATGTTTGCTGTGGGTTCACCACTGTTGAGGTTTGATTCGCGATGTTCGTGCTTCCCTGCACTTCCACCCATCCTTTCTTGGTTCTATTTCTCATCGCCGACGTTCACCTCTTCCGTCGCTGTGCTTTCTGTGGTGTGGGCATCGGACGTTTTTCTTCTTCCTCCTCCATTTTTGCTCAAGCAACTCCTCTTGTTTCTGATTTTGATAACTTGAGGTGAGGATTTTTAGGTTCTCTTTCATGCTGATTCTGTGGGTCTATTTAGAAAGCTATAACAGTGATCTCTCTGCCTAACGATGCTCCCATCTGTGACTTTGTTTAGAGTAGGATTTGAGTAAATTAAAATTTAAAGGTTAAGTGAATATTTCCATTGAGTAATCTGTATATGGTTGTTTTGGGTTCTTGTCAGTGGAGATGAATGTGAATTTGGTTCTTCATTTGAAGTCAAAACTGATTTTGCTCTAGAGTAAATCTAAATATTGGTATTGAGAAATTGTAGAAAGGATATTAAGAAAAAAAGATGCTTTATATTTGTTTGAATTTGGATGCATATCAGATATTTGATAAAAATGTTTGAAAGGAAGTTGGAATTAGAAATAGAGATTTTGAAGAGAATATTTTCATTGATAATTCAAGTACTAAATTGCTAATTATGTATTAGTTTTTGAAATGTCTATTAAATGTTGTGGAATTGTAGGAAGTCAAATAAAATTTTAATATATATTAAGGAAATTGAAAGAGAAATGAACTTATTATTATGATTTAAGCAATAGTACTTCCAAAATGTTTGACAGAATGTTTGTTAGAATAAGTTTTATCTGGTTATGAACTTTCAAAAATTTTATTAATTTTTATGAGGACATATTTGATTTAAATGTTGATTATTCATAGGTTTAGCTTGAGCTTTGTGGAGCATGTTGATTGTGAAGCTATTGTGAACAAATTGGATTTTGGAAATTACATGGTTGATGAGTATAAATGATAATATTATTTTTTAGATTTCATTTGGGAATGCACCTAGGGTGCTCGATGAGATGAAGGATAGAAGAACTTTGAAATTTTAGCATGATTGAGGGTGTCTACAAGAAGGAAGATTTGACTCCAAAGAGTGAATATGCACTTGAAAATATTACAGGTAAGTGGATAGCGTCCCAACTAATTTATCAATAAATTTTTTTATTAAAATTTATTTTGTTATCTTGATTATTTTAATAATAATTATGTTGAATAGTGGATACTTTGTTAATTAAATTTCTTCATTTTTAAGTTTTAAGATGGTGGTGAAAAACGATTCATCATAACATATGAATGTTTTACCCTTATGAGATATCCTTTCAAGATTAATAAAATTCCTTGTCATTAGCATTGGCAATTTTTGATTATTTAACAAATGCAAGCATGAGCATTGAATATGAAATTTTATTCTGGCAAGTTTTAATGCTTAAAAAGTATTCATGCGAGTTTGATTTTGAGAATGAAAACGGTATCTTAAAAGTGATGATTTTCTTGCATGTTTGAAAATGGTTTTAAAAAGGGACTTTATACAAAACACTGGTTGTTAACGGCAGTTCCATTAGCCCTTGGCACGTCATGGTACACCTAGCTAGCAGGGTGTTTATAGGAGGTGCTAGCCCTATGCGATGGTCAATGCACGTGGAACGGAGGGATGGTTATTCGTGAGCATTGTACTCACGTTTGTTTCGTGGCTTTAAGCCGCGTTTGCTTAGCATTATCCTCGTATAGACTGTGTGTCCACGTTTGTTTTGTGGCTTCGACTGCGTTTGGTTATTTACCCTTACGGATTATGTCTCCACGTTTGTTTTCGTGGCATAAGCCGCGTTTGATTATTTATTATCATGAACTGTGTGTCCACATTTGTTAATTGTTCTGATATGTCCCTATAATTATGAATCCAATTATTTGACGATTTATATTCCATTGGTTTTTATCTGGTAATTTGTATATAAAAAGATTTATTTTATTTATGTGCTTTCTTGAAATTAAGTGGTATTATCATTTACTATGATAGTTCAATAATTTAAGATTTTATTTGAAATTTTATAGAGCCATTTTATTATGAAGTTTATTAAATTTTTATAGAAATTGTCGTCTCTTTAACTTACATAACTATTTCAAACTTTTTATTTTATTTATGTTCTATTATTTATTGTTGGGACGTTATTCACTGGAAAATTATTTTGGTTTCAGATAGCATACTTGACACTGTACGTCTTGCTTAACAATGATGGATGTTTACGGAACAGAATAGAGACTTGTTCTGTAAATATGTCTTATTGATGTAAATATAAAATTATGTGTTATGTTATGAGATATATGATTAGGTGCTCCACATAACTTATAATTAAAGTCTTTAGTTTATTATACATTTTGTTTGCTGGCTAGAAGGAGCTAAACTCCTGATTGATATAATGTTTAAGGAAAATTTTTGTGATACAGAATTTTGGAATATCCTATTTACGGAGGAGGTTCTGACAAAATATAAAATAGTTATTGTAATGATTATTATCAATAGTATTAATAGGTCAGTGAATAATTGAGTACATTTTAATTAAATTAAATAAATTTTAAATTTGTGGCTTACAAGATATATGATGTGGTTTATATTTTGTGTCGGTCATTTCTTATTTTTGGGGCGTGACACCTTCTTTTGTTGGAGGCTTTCTGAAATAACCTGGAGCAATGATTCCAAACTGGATGATTTCCTTAAGATGACAGCTACGACTAGGAGCACTTAAATGAAGGATGTGACCGGTTTGGTCAAGGAAGCAGGATTGTTATTATCACAAAGGATAAACAGTTGTTAGTAAGTCATGCTATTGAAAAAAAATTTATGATGTCAAGAAACTAAGTGATGATGAGGGTCTTCAAATGTTATCCCGAATTGCTTTTAGAAAGGGCAACGTGGAACCTGGCTACGAGGACGTTTCAAAACGTGTAATACTTTGTTCACGTGGCATTCCATTAATTTTGGACGTGTTGTGCTTTTACTTACATGCTAAAACAGTAGATGCATGGAATTTTGCAATGGATAAGATGTAAAAAGACCTGGCACAGATGCTTTGGCTCTTCAGTGTATTCATACACAATGCAAAGCAGCTGGAGGAGTTTATTGCTTTTATGAAGGGGAAAGAACCTCAATCAATTCACTCATCAATGGAGAAGGGTACTGATGAGAGGAAAAGGGAAGACACTGAAAGCGAAAAGACACGAGTTGAGGGGAAGAAGTGCCATGCTTGAAACTTAACCCAATCAAATAACAGAATTCAACGGTCAACATTGGCAGAAAAGCTTGTTGAAATGCAAGTATTCCCTTTTTGTTTGGTTTATTCATGCCACTGTTCGATCTTTTCGTGTTTAGCAATGCCACTGTTCTTTCATTTTTCTTTTTGTCCCCTACTTCTTCTTTTAGTTATATTGTGCATGTTCCATCTCTTTTATGAGCTATTTGTTGTACCATGTCCTCTGCTTTTCAATATAGCTGGTAGAGAGCCTTGATTATTCTCATGAAAATCAAAATCAGCAACATGACGACGGATTTCTTCATCGTTGCTTCGCTTGGTTGATGCGATATATTCTGTACATAGTTCTGTCAAATGCTTTCCATTCAGAAAAAGAGCTCCTGCAGAACATGATAATGAACAATTCAGATATCGTCGAGATTGGTGAGTATTGATCGTGACCATAACGAAAGTAGCTTCTAATATTGCATTTTAGTGTCAGAAGCATGTTGAGTGACTACAAAATTTAAGAAGCTAAAGAATAGACTGATTTTAATGAAAAGGTGGTGCCAGATTGGATCCACGAGAAGTGGGGCCCTGGTAGAGATATTCGTCTCCTAACTTGCATTTGCCAACTGTCTAAGCTAAGTGGAGTAGATCATGGTCGTCAAATGCCAAACTAAAATATTTCTTAACTGCTTGAGTTTAAATTTGTCAATTTCAAATTGAGTTTTGATTAAATAACATAACAAATGTAGTATCTTGGTTTTGTTAATTCAGCATGTCTTTGTGCAGGCATATTGTTATGCTTGGATGAACCATATGATGACCATATAGCCTCAGGGTATATGAAAGAATTTTGTGCAAATTAAGTGTTCTTCTTTTTTTTTAATTATCAATTTTCAGTTTATTAGTTCTGTAGCGAAATTTTATGTAAGAAATGCCTAATCAAATTCTAGTAATCAAAAGGTGTTTTTTACTTCTTTTTCTTCATTGAAGAGATTGCGTTTGAAATAATAGTAGTATATTTCTCTGCTATCGGAATTGTTTCTTCTTGTCAATTTATCTGTTTATGCAAATTTTTGCTATCCAAATGGAAAGAGGCTACTATCTCCCAGATATTTTGACGTAAAAAGAATAACATAGCTATTTGGATAGTTTTTCTTTTGAATTTTGGGTAAAATATATGTGACCAATGTCCTGACCCTCTTGAGGATTTTGCAGTATATATTAAGAAAGCGTGTCAGATTTGAAATCCGTTCAATCAAGAATATCCATTAAATTGTTGCATTCTTGGATTGCTGCCAAGTGCTTCAACTTCCATTAGAAAAGTAGTTATGAGGAGTGCCAGAGAATCTGAAGCAGAGGTGATAATTCTCAACTCCTGTAATTTTTGTTGGCCAAAAGAAATGGCTATGTCCATATGCCACGATTGGTGCAGGTTTTCATCTGTGACTTCTTTAATAACACTAGTAGAATCAGACTCTTAGCATTAGGTGAATGGGAAAACATAATTTCAGAGTTTAAGCATTTTGCTAAAAGTAGTTTAAGCATGTCTGAGAGTGGGTTCGGTCCATCGTGCTCATCAATCTGGTCAATTTTATTTTTTTATTTTAATTTATGTTTATTATAAAAAAATATAAAATTTTAATAAATCTACTTTATCAATTTGGGCAATGTAGATTTAATTTGAATGATTCAATTTAATATTAATTTTTTTAAAAAATTTATAAATTGGATCATTCAAATTAAATTTCTATTGTTCAAATTGATAATAAAGTAAATTTATTAAAATTTTGTATTTTTCATTTTAACAAATATATAATAAAATATAAAATAAAATTGGTAAATCTAGACAATCCAAAAAAATTTGGATGATTCAAATTGCTATTACCTGATGAGCACTGAAATTGAATGCATTTAATGATTGAGTGAGGCGTGCCTCAAAGGAACTGAACCATAAGTTGTTAATTATGCAATCTTTTCTTGTTAATTTATTAATGTTAGTTATAAATTACATGATTTGTCAATAATCTTATTAGTTTAATTATTTTATTCTAAATGACGAATCATTAATTGTTAATTTTTTAATTTTACTTATTAATTTACCAATATCAATTGTCAATCATTTTATCTTCCTTTTGCAGAAGGACATTTCAATCTTTTCAGCCACCCATGTTATTTGAATTTAGTTCAAATCTTGCTAAGAATTTTCATTTTTTTTGGGACCTATTAATAAATATCTCTCTTCATAGGCCTTAACTAAAATTCTCCCTTTTATCAACTTGTTTTCTTTCGTTTTCTTTAGGCATGGAGATATAATATTCCATAGACATGATTATTCAATTTACAATTATTGAAGAAATGTCATAATAAAATAGAATATCTTCAAATCAAATTAAATATTGAATTTGTAATAGTCATATTCCTCGATTGGACGCTGACGTGTAATCACTATTAATATGAATTAATAAAATTTAAATCTAGAGCTTCCATGGATCACAATATGCTTCAAGATAATTATCTTAATTTACACAAGTATTATTTTACTTTAGATGTGTCCATGCGTGAATTTACACAAGTATTATTTTACTTTAGATGTGTCCATGCGTGCTTCTTAGTTGCCTTTCTGTTTTTTTTTTTTTTTAAATATTGGATTCAAATTATGACTTGTTTACTTTATGATCACTCTGTTGGATGCTCGTAATTAAGCTGGGACGAAAGTAATAATTACTTGGCCGAACTTGGTCGACAAACATGAAGGCTACAATAATTAGGGGAAAAAACTGTAGCGATAAATCATTTTATTTTCTCAGAAAACTAGTGTACTCTCTAAAGGCGGACATAAATAATATTATTCTCAATTTAAAAATTTAAAAAAATTAAAACAAATAACTATGAAAGGATAGGACTTCGTAAGATTGATTAACTTTAGGTTATAATTAGCTGCTATTCTCCGAAAATGATAAGGCAACAAATTTTTTTTTTCATTTTTACAAATAATAGGAAATTGTATTCATGGTATACGAAAACAAAAAGACTAAAACGCGAAACCAATTACTGATGAGGACTACAGACTATCCATAATTCATATGATATTAAATATCAATTGATTTTAATATTAATAATAATAGAGAGAGAAAATGTAAAAAAATAAATAGACATTCTATTATAAAAATAATAATATATAAGATTTTATTTAATTAAATTGAAATAATTTTATTTAATGAATCATGAATGATAGAGTATCGGTCCATCCAAGACTTTCTTTGTCTTTGCGTGCCTTAGGTTGTGCCTATCCATGTCACCCATCTTCCTCTTCCTTTCTTTCTTCAGAAAATTACAAATTAGTAGTTGATAAGGCTGATGAATCACGATCCAGAATCATAAAATAATGAAATTAAATTTAAGGATCGGACCCATAAGATTATAATTTTAATTGCTTAATATTTAAATAGACACTATGAAGTATGAATATAAATGGGACAATCAAAATAAGGATAAACTTCAATCGGTGCTTCACAATTTTAAACAGACACTACGAATATAAATGGAATTTCATAAGATTGTCTATAATAAATCCTTTTCTCCCTGTTAATTTTCTGCGGCCACATTTCCTGACTTCCTATTTTTTTATTGAATGTCATTCACAATTGAGGAGCCGTTTGGTTTATAGAAAAAGAGATAATGAAAAGAAATGGAATTATAGGGAATAGAAAAGAATGGAATGATGATGACTACCAATTTGTTTGATAAGATATTTATATAGGTGGGAATGGAGTTTATGTACTTTTTGTTTAAATATAAATTAAAATAAGAAGACCATAATACCATTATTATAATAAGGGTCATGAACACCAACATAACCTTTATGCATTTGTTTTTATCATTGTATTTCTATGGCCTTTCTTTATCATATGCAGATTTATATATATGTGTACATTAAAGAGTTTCTCTCTTATGCGGGGATGTGCTCATATTTAATACCTGACCGTGCCTTAAATAATTATATGTGAGTAATAAAAAAAAAGAGTTTCTTACTCCATGAAAGAAAAAGATTAAGAAAAATAAATACCATGAAAATATTTAGAATCTAAATAAATTCAAAAAAATTTTAAAAAAATATTTATAAAAATATTTTGGAGAGAGAAAAATTAAATTAAAGCTATGAATATGTTAATAAAATTAATTTTCTAAAAAATTTATACTTAAAAAATTAGAAAAATGATAATTGAAATACTTATTTTCGTCCATATAAAAAGTTTATAATAACATTTTAGTAAAATAGTTATTGGATCATGATGGGTGGTGACATGATTCCTCTTATTTTTCACATGCATCCTCATTTTTAATTAGACGTGATCGGCACAAGATATATGTCCAAACATACATCCCTTAAGCTTAGATTAAGAAAACTTTAATATAACATTTTAATTCATTTGAAATAGGATGAGAAATCATTATAACATTTTCATATAAACAAACGATTCCTAAACTTTGTGTAACACAAATTCAGCAAAATATCCTCTAAAATAAGACCTCTTGAAGTCTCTAAAATAGCCATATACAACCCAATTTAGGAATGTAGAACTCTGCCCCCCCACAACAGATAGACAAATGAATAATATATCAAAATTCTATCTATAGTTAATGTGAAGCTATTAATTCAAGTTTCCAAAGAATAAAGCATAATAAATTGTTTACACCAAAAAGGAGAGATTCATAAATAAATCTTCAAGTCAAATCAACAATTGAGTCCCTCAGTGGTCAGTAGGACGTACAATGATAGCTACATTATTTGAGACCAAATTAAATATTTTTCAGTGAATAACGTCCCAACTATCATATTTAAAGAAATAAGAATGAATAATTTGCAATAGTTATGGAGGTTAAAGAGAAAACGATTCAATATAATAAAATTAGTAAATTTAGAATAAAAATTTCTATGCAACTTTAATATCATGAGCCTTTAGATCTTCAATAACAAAAGAATTTCAACATTTAATCTTGACAAGATAAATAAATTAAATAAATAAGTAACATTTACAATTTTAAAACAATTAGAGTATAAAATCATCAATTAATTAAAAATTCATATTTCTGAGGATTTATCAGAACAATTCACAAATGTGGATACACAATCCATGAGGGTAAATAACCAAACGTGGCTTATGCCACGAAAATAAACGTGGATACACAGTCTACGAAAATAAATAACCAAACACAGCTTGAGCTACGAAACAAACGTGGACACAGTTCATGAGGGTAAATAACCAAACGCGACTCAAAGTCACGAAAACAAACGCGAGTATGAGACTCACGAATAACAAATGTGAAAACAGAGCTCACAAAAATCAAACTAGCTAGTCATTGACCATGACGCGCCAAGGGCTAATGAAACTGTCGTTGACAACCAGTGTTCTGTATAAAATTCCCTTCAAAACCATTTTCAAACATGCGAGAAAATCATCATTTTCAAGGTACAGTTTTCAATTTCAAAGTCAAACTCACATGAATAGTTTTAAGCATTAAAACTTGCTAGAATAAAATTTCATATCCAATGCTCATGCTTGCATTTATTAAATAATCAAGAATTGTCAATGTTAGTGAAAATGATTTTTTTCAATCTTGAAAGAATATCTCATAAGGGATAAAACATTCATATGCTACGATCTAAATATTCTTCACCACTGTCTTATAACTTAAAATGAAAAAAATTTAATTAAAAAAATATTCACTAATCAATATAATTATTATTAAAATAATCTATGTAAAAAAAATCAATAAGAAAAATTAATTAATAAACTAATTGGGACGCTAATCACTTACCTGCAGCATTCTCATGTACTAAAATTCACTCCTTTAATTTCAACTCCTATTAAGTTTCTCTTCCTCCCAACATCCTAAAACAAAATTTATATATAATAAATCTTAATAGATTGTCTATAAGTAAAATAATTTCCCTTCAACACTAATATAATCAAAATCAATTTGAATAATTCAAAGCGACCTAATGCACCTCCGTTTATATCCCAAGATTTCTCTATATAATCTAAATCATAATTACTTATTCCAGTGGAATATGACTTTCTCTTGTACCATATGTCAAACACCTTGAGTGCATCATTTTCCAAACCACTCAAATAAACTTTTTAATAAGCAATCTCTTGTCCAACAAATTTAACTTCTAAACATTCATAATTAAATTCATCATGCTTTTTCAAAATCTCTAATTCCAATTCCAACTTTTCTTGTGAAAAGTAATTACCTCCTATATAGTTTAATTATCAATCAAATAACAAAAGTTTTCTCCTATCAAGTATTTTACCAAACACCTTACAAGCATAAATATTCAAACTATAATACTAAGCTTCTTCCTCTCCAATTCCTTTAAAAAAAATTTCAATAACAATATTTAAATTAATCAAACTTCCTAAATTTTATTCCTTCAGCAAAAGCTAGTTTTGAACTCAAAGAAAATCCAAATCCCCATCTATGGTCAGAAAGCAATAATCAAGCAACAAAGATGAAATCACCTAGTGGAAACGTTCTC